TACTTTGACAACATGTCATAAGCAGAGGGAGAGTCATTGGTTACCACACAGTTCACTTTTGAAAGTATGCTTAATTTTGGATGTTTATTTTTTTTAATGTACATAAAGAAATGACATATGCAGCATGAGAAATTCTAAGTATCATCTTGACTATATCTCTGTGTAACACCAGCTTTTTTTCATGCTCTCCAATAGACTTTTTCAGTTATATTTTTAGCTCCAAAACAAGTGATCATCACTTTCATGCCTTGACACCCTATTGACATACTACGTGGAAATGTTCTCAATGTTCTGTGAATTTGGAGCAAAACTTGTACTGGAGGGCTCTGTTTGTTTCGTGGTTGTTTTTATTTTTTTAAATTTAAAAGGAAGGAACAGATGTATTAACTTACACGGAACAAATTAGGACACGGGGATTACATACACAAGAGCAGTTAGGAAGGCTGTGGCAAAGTTAGCAGATATTTTAGTTTTAAGAGATACATTCAATTCAGAGCAATTATTGACAACTGAGATGAGTCCTAACATTCTGTATTATTAGCCCTGTCTTAAATACAGGAAAAAAAATTGCTAAGAACAGAAAAATACCATTCATGCTTTACAATATGGGGTACCAAGTGATGATGTAAAGTCACTATCTAAACTATGCATCAAAAAACTGACACTGAGTACCTCCTTTTCTGGGGACTCCACAACTGTCCATTACCAAAATCAGGCCTTAGATTCAACGGATCTGTGTAACTTAGTGAACTGAGGCATGGGACTAAATGTTTAACACAAAGCTATTTTCTCCTTACTAAAGCATATCACTGAAATGTCAAAAATAACTTTTACAAAAAGAGCACAAGATACAAAAGGTTGGTAATGCCTTCTAAGCAGACAGCTTATATTTGTGATAATCTGACAGCATATTGCCAGTCTTTAAAATGATCACTCAAATGATTACAAATTAAGATATACTAGCTGCGACTTCTCTACTTTTTATTGTAAGTAAAACCCTGATGTTCAAAAATAATGCATACGTAAATCCCAAAACCAGACAAAATCCAGAGGGAAGTATGCAAGTCAGACCACATATACAGCCAGTGCAAGTAATGGACTTCATTTTTTTCATAACACAAACTCAGTATATTGAGATGGGACAGAGAGAGTCCAAGTGTTGATATCAGAATTAGATTATACCCAAAATTAGTTGACTGTTTTGTAACTATAGTTAATTTAAAACAGTAATTTGAAACTAATTTATTAAACTGTCCTTTAAAATATTTGTCTCTGTTACCAACAAGAATGTTTTTTTGTTGTTGCTGTTGTAACACAGATCCTGAAAGACTGCACTCCGGTAGCCATGGCAAAAACTGGTCTGAAACACTCAAGTCTACTGAAGTCAGTACATAAGAGATCTTATGAACCCTTAAGGCAGACACAAAGCAGACATGTGCAAGAAGGTATTATGTGTTAATCATGACTGTGCTGGGAATTTACTGAATCAGATTTTAAAACAAGGATGTACTGAGTGTATTTAATCAAATTTAAACAGCAACAAAGCAAAGACGAAATGAAATGGATTCTAGAAATTTACTGAGACAGAATCCTCTAAATTAAAGGACATAATCATATATCATAAAGGAAAATTTAAAATATGAATATCAATGTTGAAGCAAGTTATAAGAAAGGTGTGAGAGTCTGTATTATTAAAGTACACCTACCCACCATAATATCTTTCACTATCTCTCCAGTTCACAAGTTCCAGCTTCCCTTGCAGCAAGCTGTGTAAATAGCAAAGATACTGGATATTTGTACTGCTTCCCTTTCAAACACTTTGCCTTGTTTGGCTTGGCAAAAGAGTAACTATTCTTAAATGCACCATTTCACTGGCTAGTGCAGAGTTCATACACTAATGCACTGCACAGCAGCAGGCAGTATGTTAAGCAGTATCAAGTTTCTAACTAAGGTGCACAAAAGTGCTTCATACATCACTGTACATCTCATCCTTGGCTTTCACAGGTCAAAAAAAAAAAAAGGCTTTATCTGCCAGCAACAAAGATGAATTTAGGAAGGTCTTGGAGACATCCTCTCCTCCTTATTTTACTTCAGCATCGCACAGTAATGTAAGATCTTGTGCACATACCACTCCCTTCTTAGCTGTTTCCATACACTGCCAAGTATTTCTAAACTTGGCTGAACCTTCCTGCTCTTCTCCACTGCAAGAGGATATGCTTTCACATATGCTATCTCCTACTAGTAAAGCCCAGCACTACTGCTGCTCCAGCAGCCCCTGAAGGTAACAGGCACTAGCATCTGTACAAAACAGAAGGATGCAGGTGTAAAGCACTTTTAAAATCTGATGGTGTGGAGGCTTGTACTGGAGACAGACTTGAATGCCAACTATGCCTAAAAGAAGGCACAGACCATCACACTCTTCTCTAAGGAGCTGATCAGATTTCAGTGAACTAATTCCAAGCAAAAAGAATTAAATAATACTTTCACAGCAACAACCAAGCTTTTTGTAGTCAGGTCTCCAGCCACAGAGACACAAGATTTCTCAGGGAAACTCTTTCAAGCCAAATTAATTCCAGCCTACACAATCACCAACTACATACATACTGAGAGAGAGAGAATACAACACAAAATGTCAGCTGCTTTGTTGTATCCTACATTGCTTCTCTTCACTTTTAAACCTCTGTCTGCCCCCCAAAAGCATTCACTCACCCATACAATTCACAAATATGTATATCATTCTGAAATCAGTGTTAGCAAGAGTGACTGATCTCATCTGTGTCACTGGTCTTTCCTCTCATAATACTAACAATTTCGAACTCTCTCATTTTTAACATCCAGGAGACTGTGGGGCTTGAGTCTATGTGCTAATAAAAATTATATTTATTATCCATCAACAAGCAATGCCAAGTAGGAAGCAATGAAAAAAAAATATAAAGGTTAATGCATAGTGAACTTCACCTTCAGATGTCTGTTTTTCATGCGTATAGAAACAACATACATATACATTGGAGCAAAGTCTAAAATAATAATAAAAAGAAAAAAGCCACAGCTATCTTTGTATAAGAATAAATATAAAAATAAAAGAGGTAGTTTATTTGTAAGGTGGCCAAAGTATTCAAACAGGAGAGAATAATAGTGAGAACCCTAACAGAACTAAGCATAAGGATTTCACGTACTTTTATCTAGGAGTCAGACTGTAACTAAGTGACCTTCTATTAAACATATGACATTTTGCAATGCAGCTTCAAGGAGACATACTTAGGTTTTGATTTGATGTACAAACTCAAATACTCCAGAATTGTCAAGATCGCTCTAAAGAATGTTCCAAAATCAGTAAGGTTGTATATTTTGATTGAAGAAAAACATTGCCTTTGATCAAATACATTTTTTATTATAATGAAACTTACAAAATAACATTTTTCAACACTTTTCCCTATACTGTTATTACTAATTTCAATCTAGGCATTGGTATTAACTTATTATCCAGGCAACAGTTTCAATAACATTAGCTAACAGAAGTCAGAAGTTGATCTCGCTAATTATTAAATGTTCACTTGGAAAGGTAGTACATAAGACCACAGCCAAACTTTTGGAGTTCCCTTGTTGTGACGGTTTACATAAGAAAGGATAATAACTTTTAAAGCAGCTTCTTTTGTTGTTGTTTTTCGTTATTAACTGCTATAGCTGCATATTTTGTAAGATATTCCAGTTTTAAGTCATGTTAACACCAGTCTGATTAAAAACAAAACAGATTGGAATACACTCCAACCTAATTCACTTTTTTATCAAGGCTGGTGGAATTGAGGAAGCAGGGTTTGACATCTATTTTTGTTTCACACAGATAATCAAGTTCTTTATACCCTCTTTCTGCCTCACACACTCATACATCTCATTTGACGAAAGCACAGAAACAAACAAACAAACAAACAAAAAAAACAGTTCCCTCATCCTTTAAAATCCTCATTATGATTTCATCTCAAATGCATCAATCAAAAGTAAAGTGTAATAACACAGGAATTACTGTTCACTGAAAATAGGCATCTTTAAAAAGAAAAGAAAAAAAAAAAACAAAACACAAGAATTCTTCCAACTGGCTTCCTTATTGTCAGCACTGTGTAACTCCAGTATATCCAGCAGTGTAAATTTTCATATTTCACAAGGCAAGAGGTGAGAATGAGCGCCTCAATGAAAACTATTGCTAAAGTATGTGCAATGCTACTAGGAGACATCAGTCCACACTACTCAAATCTATGACAAACCAAATAACATCAGAATTATTCTGTTGCTGTAGGTGACATTTAATAGGGTAAGTCACTGAACCAAATTTGGGGCCTCCTGCAGATGCTGGTGACCAACACGATGCAAGGAGACGATCATCAATCTTACCGAGCAGACCAATTTCAAATATGTCACTATATTCTGTATGTCAGTACTTTTATTTAATTTCATTTCAGTAATAATCTGCTTCAACAGAAGTGGCTGTAGTTATTTTTCTATGTGACATCAGGATTCACTGGCAATTTCACATGAATTTCTTCACGGGTAAACATTTGAAATACTGAATAAATTCAAGGTACTGCATAGAGCTTCTCCATCATATTCTCCACTGTTGCTGCAAAGTTTTTTCTTTTCTTTTTAAAGTAGCATATCTACAATAAAACGTTGTCAGAAAGCACTGAAGTGCAGTCAAGAAAACTTCCTACCTTAAAGCCATACAAACTACTGATATTTTTTCAGTTTAAATCAACAAGTTAAATACAGAGAAATATACATAATGCCTGTGTTCTACAGCATTTACAATTCTTCCCTGACAAATTTGTATATACATAGAGAACTGTATTCTTGGCCCACTCCAAAAGTAACACTTCCAAAAACAGCACATCCGTGAACATGAAAATGCTTACAATGAGAAGTAATACTTTTTCCACGCATATCAGCATTCTCACAAGAACAGAACATTCAGGCTGTACTTATTAAGCCACAGACACATGTATACCTACCCTGCATTGTTACTGACTGCTGTAATACCCTTTACTCCAGTCTTCAGTAAACCCCCAATGAGATTTTCAGGAATCCCACACAGTCCAAATCCTATGCCAAATGAAAGAAAATTGAAAACGAAGCAAGTGTTTGAAAAAACAGCTTAAACTGAAGTGAGAATGTGTGCTGGTTAATTAAAAACTATCTTCTGAACATAAAAAAATCACATTAGCTGATTAAAAAAAAAAAAAAGAACACTTCTGGAAAGATCTGCACCCCAGTACTGAAATCTCCCAGTCAACTAGATGCTTCCAGTCTGGATGAAAGCAGTTTACCATCAGATGTCTGCTCATTTGCAAGTGGCCTTTGAAGCAGAGCTCCAAGATCGTGTCTCTCCTGATGCAGGTTTTAACTGCTCACTGTGCCTCTACACTCATTAGCCCTCCTATTTCTGCGCAACTAACCTTCAAATCTTCACTGCACAGAACAATTTCAAACAGAAGGAGCAAAGATTTCTCCCATGCAGTGTAACCTATAATTAGGTGATAAAAATCTGGGAACCTTAACTAAGTTCCTGTAAACTGGAAGCAAGATAATCCAGATCTCCACCCAGGCTGAGGTACCTTATACCCCGACTTATTATGCAAAAGCCTCATATGCCTAAAATGAAAGAAAATGGTACATTTGGTATGTCCTAGGCCAGGCTCTGATGCTGTGATTATTAGCATTTTGTTTGCAACTGGATCTCAGATTTTCATTTATTCCCATAAACAGCAACAAAAAAAAGCCCAAAACCCTCTTCCTATTTGTAATTCTGCATTACTACAATGATGTTTCCCATGTTTTAAACAATACTTTCATTACTCTTCTCCAGTACTAAAAATCAGTTATATCAAGCTAAATAGATCGTCTTTGGGTAGCTTAAACAAGAAATTGTGAAAATTCAAAAACTCTAGTCACATTGAAAGCTGATGTGACACAATTCCTTAACTCTTCTGGAAATATGACACATTCAGAATAATGTAGATAAGTAGTGCTTTCACTTCCCACAGCCATAAACAGCTTAGGTGATTTGTTCAAGGTCACAGAGAGCCAGTGAAAAGGCAGGTACGGATAGAGAACACTACCATAATCATAGCCTAATCAAAATTCATTTCTTCTGTTTGAAATAATGATGCTAATCCAAAAGACTGAGTTTACTTTCAGTGTTCAAACTGACCCAATTAAAGTCTAATGCTTTATTACCGACAAAAAACATTTAAGGTTTTTCTTTTCCCTCACCTAAGAAATGGGGATATGCTTACTGATAAGGTCTGCCCCTCAATTAGCAGAGTTGAAAATTATTTGTTTAAAGTACCCAAACAAGTATACACATTATCAAATTAGTTAACATTAGAAGAATCAAAACAAATGTTTCTCATCTATAGAGTAAGAGCTTGCGCTCATAAAGGATTGAAGTATTTACCACCAACAAGTATAGTTGCCCCATTGGGTATATCTTTTACAGCTTCAACAGGATCAGTATAAAATTTGGTGTTGCGATGACAGCTGGTAGAAAAATAGCATCCAAAAGCCTGGAACAATAGTAAAAGAAGTGAATGAATAAAAAGAAATACATACCAGTTCTGTAATTATAACCATGCCCCTGGCTAACTAATCCTGCATCAAGTGGACAATATCCAAAGAGATTTAAAATTCTGGAATTTTATCCACAACTGCTGAAAAAGTTTTACTTACTGTAAGCACATTCACAAATTTCAGAATCACAGGGGTTGAAAGCGACCTCAAGAGATTATTGAGTCCAACTCCTGGCTAAACCAGGCTCCTTACAGTAGGTCACACAGGTAGGCATCCAAATGGGTCTTGAAAATTACCATAAAAGGAGACTCCACAACCTCCCTGGCAACCCATTCCAGTGTTCCGTTGCCCTTACCATAAAGACATTCTTCAGTATGGAACTTCCAGTGTAGAAGTTTTAGGCTATTACTCCGTGTTCCATCTTTATGCTCCTACGCATGAGTTACAGCAACCAAAAGACTGCTCTCATTCATATATTACTACTGTAGATTCAAAGGTACACAACTCACTGAGTATAGGAGACGCACAAGTAGAGAGCCAACATCAATACAAATTCAGAACAGAGAGGCCAAAGAACAACTACAGAGCAGAACAGCACTGTAGTAACCAGATGTCCTTTGATGACATGATCCTTCCCCAGCCTCCTAATGCAGTCTCAAGTTGTCTTAGTGGTAGAGAACAACCTAGAATCACGGAGACTGATACAAATACATGAAAAAGGGAGGGCACATGTGAAATGTGTACTTTGTGGCACAGCTGCTATACCGAAATCATCACAATTTCTCTACTGTATTCTTAGATTGCAGTGATCCTAAATCCTTTCTTTCTCTTTTCTTTTTTTTTTTTTTTATTATTTTCCACTATTATCATCATGGATAAATACTGCACAGAGCCAGTGCTTCAGTTGCAATTGATTAAGTCACCACAATCTCAAAAAATTGAGAGTACTTGGAAATTAGTATACTAGCTATTGGTGTTTCCTCTCCTACTTTTACAGTGCAAGTGGGAAAACTTAGAGAAAGAAGAATGAGCAAGTAAATAACAAACAAGTTAATCTACACACAATTTAAAACACAATTTAAGGCATAATTCTTCTCTACAGAGTTGTCTTAAGATTCATTTACAGCCAGGGTAGTAATTTTTGGCTCAGTTTCAAGATTACACAAACTGCTTCCCTCATAAAATTAAAGCTAGAAGGGTTTAGACTGCATATTAAGAAAAGCCTTCTGAATGAATGCTTATTTCCTTCCCATTGGGAACATTAATAGTCATCCACTTTGATGAACTCAGAAAAATATTTCTAAGTGGGAACTGTAGTACTGAGAAAGAGACTATTCTCTGCTGTACCACAGCTGTTTCTTTCAGAAATATTTTTTCAGAACTGCAGTCAGACTGCAAAGCACACGCCTCCTGGCCCCATTTGGCAAGAGCATGACAAAAGAAGCAGGGCTAGCAGCACCAGGTATTTCAGTACAACAAGTCTGCAGGCAGGCACAGAATGGCAGATGAACGGAGCAAGTGGGCTGAAGGGAGGCTGGGTACTGCTGCATAACCATGCTCAACTCATATGGATAAGAACGTTCTTAAGCAACCACGTGGTAAATCTTCATAACAGCAGAGAACAAAGGAACAGCACATGTATCCAGCATGCTAACAGGCTGTGTGTCTCCAGTGAGAATTCCCATGCTACTACACTAAGTATGTTTTTCTCAGCCCCTTCCTCATTCTCTGTATCATTGGCAACAGTCTGTGACTGCACTGGAGGAGGAAGCTGAAGCCTCTGTACAGGGCTGCAACTCTGGCAGCCCAGGTTCCCAAGATGCATAGTAGAGTTAACTCTGTAGAGTTAACTCAGCAGGCAGGGCACTATCCTTTGTAGTGGGATGGTGGAGAGAACTGGAGTAAGCAAAGTAAAACCAATGGGTTGAGACAGATAGTTTAATAGATCAGGAAGTAGGGAAGGGAGGAATAATAAAAAAGAATACCTAAGGTGAGTGATGCACAACACAAGTGTTCACCAATGCTTAGCCAGTCTCTGAGCATCAGAAGCTCCCAGCCAACCCCCCAGCTCTATTGTTCAGCATAACACCACATAAAGTGGCACATCACTTCTGCCAGTTTGGGTCAGCTGTCCTGGTTCTGTCCCCTCCCAGCCCCTGGCTGACAGGGCAGCATGATAAGCTGAAACATCTTTGGCTCTGTAAAAGCACCACTCAAAAAGTACTAACACATAGCGTGAGAATACAGTTGATCACACCCAAAGCCCAACACAGCCATGTCAGCCAGACACTATGGAAAACTCTACCCAAGCCAAAATGAGGACAACTGGGAATAGAGGAGTCAACCACAACGGTCAACTGACTGGAAAGAAGCTTTGCAGAAAACAGCAAGACAGGGAGAAAGAAAAAGGCAAAATTCACAGAAAAGCAGAAGTATAATTTAGCATAATGAAGACTAAAATGATGATCATTTGCTTATGAAGACATGATGTGAGGCAACTACGAGCACTCGAAAGCAAACAAATTTGTTTTTCCGTTCAGTTTTTCAACTGAAGCACTAAGAAAAGCCATGAGTACAGCCACCTGGGGAAGAAATTAATTAGCTCTGGCTCCACATAGGCTGGAAAGCACCAGAGCGGCGAGGTTTGGCGCAACCTTCTTCGCGGACAGCGGGGCGAGCCGCTAGGCAGCGCGGGGCCGCGGTCCGACACCTGCGCCTGGCAGCGCGTGCGGAGTGCCGCCCGGGCAGGGAGCGCCGGTACGCAAAGCCTCGTCCTGCGGCCGGATAGCAAGAAAACCGAACCCGCAGCCCGGCCCACGGTCACCGCCCCGCATCTCGCTAGCAGTGCTGCTGCCCGTCCGGCTCCCTAGGGCCGGAAGCGTCCTATAAATGGCGAAAATATATATAATTAAAAACCAGTGAAAAGCATCCCTTCGCTAACGCGCACGGGCGAGACCGCCCCCGGAGGCGTTGGCGGCAGGGCGGTCCCCGGCCTCTCGCCTCGCCGCGGGGATCCCGCCAAGGTCACGGCAGCCCGGAGACCGCTTCGTCGCGCTTTACCTCGGCGCCCCGTGCCCGCGCGGCGGGAAGGAGGATGCGGCGGCCGAGAGGCGACAGCAGGAATTTGTACGCCGCCATCTTCGGATGCGCGACTCCCAGAGAAGGAACGCAGGGGCTGCGGGCAGAGGCGAGCAGGAGGAGGCGGCCGTCCAGCGGCAGGCGGAAGATCCAAGCACGCTGAGGACGGCGGCTCGGGGTCACGTGTGCCGAAGGAGGGTGAGGGGCTCGGCACCGACGCCCACTGACGTCGGCTGCGCCCGAGGCGGGGCTGGCGGAGGGGCGGTGGCGCGGCGGGGGGCCGCGGCCTGCGGGAGCCGGCGGCGGGCGACCGGACGCGGGAGTGATCCTATCGGCGGCGAGTGCCCGCTCGAGCGGCCGGGGCAGCCCCCGGAATTGGGGCGTCCCCTAGGGCTCGGCCCTCGGCGGCAGCGAGCAGCGTCACGGCCCTGCCCAGTGTCCCCGAGCCCGCGCCCCGCACGCTGAAGAAAGAACACGGCTAGCAGTTCGGCTCTTAAAAACGCTCTGACTGATGGCAGACGTGCATCGACCGACGTGGAGTACTAATTAAGGTTACAGATCATCAGTGGTGATGTGTGTTCTCTGCTTTACTGGTAGCGCCCTACTGTACAGCAAGACAACTCGCTCCGACATATGTATCCTTGTTAAGTTTTCTTTCAGGATTCCAGATGTGTGCTAAGTTTATTCGCAGATCCGTCTTTCTTGCACATCCAGAGAAGATCTAACCGCCTAACATTCTGTCCTGTCAACTCCTGATCAACAATTGAAACCACGAGCATTAAACTTAGAGATGTGGGCTTTCAATGGTTAAGTTCCAGACTCAGAGCCCTCAAGGTTAGCCAGTCCCAGGCAGCACGTGGGCTCTCCCAGGCAGCTAGATGGTGCCTTTGGGTGGAAAATGTTACTGGAATAGATGTATACTTGTTTAAGCAGTCACATGATGTGAACGTTAGAGTGCCAGCACTCCTGTATCTGCTGGCAGGAAAATTCAAGGCATGCCTTCACCATTATTTACACCTTCTATAAATACCCCTAAGTGAACAGTTCATATAATAAGCTGTCAAATGGAACAAAGATTCACAGGAAAATGCAAGAAGCACTATAAATGCAGGAAAAGAGAAAACCCCCCAGAGCAGACATTGCATTAAGTTACATTCCCTGCATTGCTGTTCTCATCTGCAGCACAACTAACCAGCCTTGCTGTATTCAGCTTTTGTCAGGTTAATTTACAACAAAGAAGCCGAGCTCCTGAGAATGCTTCTGGTCTCCCTCAGAATTGTTTGTGCACATCCATCTCATTTGGTCAGTGCTGGTCCCTCCTTGCAGCAATGCCAATACAGCTACAATTCAGCTAACACACAAACCTCACAGGCAGCAGTGAAGTATCCCTGTTTGGCTCTCTGTCAGTAATGTTGGCAAACGGGCAAACTGTTTTATTTGTCTGTACATAAGGAAAAACCAGAACTGAGATGAACAACTTCATTTCTAAACAAATTTTGTAACATTTACTTATAGCTGACCTAGATAATAAGAAAAAATGACAAGATCCTGTGCAATACTATTCCAAAACTTTAAGATTCTCTCAGAGCATTTACAGGACATATATTTACCTAGAGGAAGACAGAAGGGCTACCACTTGCATGAATGACTGAACACCTCAGTTAACTACGTGAACATAAATGTTCAAGTTATTCCCAAAGTTCAAGTGAAAGGAAGTTACTACAAAGAAAAAACGTTCTTAGCAAAGAAAAATGGGTATTTTCAGATTTAGTGAAAACTAACATTAAAAATCAGCATGGAGTTGGCAAATGAAAGTTCATACATAATGTAAATACCAAGGGCAAAATTCAACTGTAAAACAAAAAAGCCACATTCTAGTGATTTACAAAAATTAAAGCAAGTGTCAGAATCACAGCATCAAGATTTCTGAAGAAAAAATTATTGATCAGTTTGAGGAGTCCTGGCAACTGACTTTGGTAACAATTTCTCTTGAGCCTAGGATGTAAAAATGGACATTAGAGTATGAAGGGATCCTGAAGCTATATAATGAAAAAGAATCAACAGCTGTTTCGCAAGAGCAGTTATTTATCCCTGAATAACTTCTACAGCAGCCCATGGAAAGCTAATAAATATTTTTATTAAATTGAGAAACTTAGTAGAACTCCACCTAAATGGGAAAACAAACAAACAAAAAAAAAAAAAACATGATCTGTTGGCTTTGTTTGTTTCATACTACTCCATTTACTCCATTTTCTATTATAACACTCATAGTTTAGGCAAGATGCCATACTTTCTGATACAGAACAGTACAGTGTCTACATCATGCATCATGTCATAGGATCACAGAATATCTCAATTTGGAAGGGACTCACAAAGATCGAGTCCAACTCCCAACCCCTCACAAGACCATCCAAAGTCCAAACCCCATGACTAGCAGCACTATCCAAATGCTCCTTGAACTACAGCAGCCTGGGGCCATGAGCACTGCCTAGGGGAGTCTGTTCCAGTGCCCAAACACACTGTGGTGAAGAATATTTTCTCAATCCCCGACCGGACCCTCCTCTGACACAGCTCCATGCTGCAATGTTGGGTAGTCTTAAAAACAGAAAACTTCAAACTTTCTGACTACTGTAGATACTAGACTCCATTCAAAACCAGGGTATTTATAAAGTTATACAATACTTTGATTAGGAAGTTTTTAATTTAAAAAAAAAGATCACAAAAGTAACTTGTTCAACATGATCCTTGGCACCTCTATTCATGTTATAATAACACATATTTAGTAACTGTTATCCATACTGTCTGGATTAGTTAAGTGTAATAACCTTCAGCTGTGACAGATAGCGTACCTACTAGCTCTGGAAAAGAGAAAAGTGATTTATCTTTCCTTTACTGGAGGAATGAGAAGGAAGAAAAAAAAAAAAAAGCCCATTCAGCAGATATTTGCAGACATCATCTGTGCAGGTGATGTACGTTAGTAAATTGGAAGCTGGTTTAAATTCTAATTCAGTAAATGTTACTAATCTCTCTCTTACTCTTTCTTTTTGTCAGGATTTCTTTTGCAAGAATGAGGTTATTTCACAATCTACCCTTGTTGAAGATTAAACATAAACATAACACAAGGGGCTGCAGAAACAAACTGGAAACAGGAATCCTGAGCATCCGTCACACTGCATGTCAGTTCATGTTGGTTAGCACTGCTGTAACAGGCTTTTCTAGATTCTGCAATGTAACATTACACAGGGTATGTTCAAACAAACCTCATCAGCAAACACAACTTACTTTAAAGCAGGCTCCGGGCAGTCTTTAAAAAACTACTAGTGAAGAAATCTTTGTCCTTGTATTTGAAATGTAACTGACAGAAAGAAATACAAAACATTAACATGGTAACAAAGAGCCACTTCTGCAGAAATTGCATGCAGTAAACAAATCATACATCCCATAACTCACTGCAGCTAGTGCTGCACAATGAGACTATAAGACAGATATTGGAGCTGGAAATGAAGAAAAGCATGAGCCTTGTCTACCAGTTTCAAGGAGGAAATGAGTTACAGGTGAAACTTGGACTTTGCCATCCATTTCATGGGTGTGGTGCTTAGTTCTTGGTGACAAGAGTCTGGCATGCAGATCCACACATGCAATACAAATCCATGTATTTGATCATCCAGTTTGTAGGGAGACAGTTCCCCGCACTGGGAAAATTGGGTGCCAATCAATTCTTATCTGAATTGCTTTGCTCAATTCAGCTGCTGGAGAAAAAACTGTCATGAGTTCAGAGCTTCCTTCTGCAGTGGCCAGTCCATCAATAATGGGTCAGTATTCTCAACTGGAAGCAGGATCTGAAGCCTACATGTACATTAGGAAAACACAACAGCCATTTTGTTTCACATTTCATTTTTCAGTTTCAATCAAATGAACAGAAGAATTACTTACGCAGCTAAGATTTCACATAATCACAGAATCACAGAATTGTAGGGGTTGGAAGGGACCTCCAGAGATCACTGAGTCCTACCCCCCTGACAAAGCACGTTCCCTATAGATTCCCTATAGATTCCCTATCCCATAAGATACAGGACAAAATCTGATTTTTTTATTATATTCGTTACAAGGTGATTTAAAAAGAAATATTAATGTATCCAATCTTTAGAAGTACTGGTTAGTCTCAGAATTTGAAGATTTCCTTTAGCTCTCTTGATTTTGGTAAAACACAACATTTTTATCTGGCTCTACAAATGTGCACATTTGTGCTAGATGGCTGTTAAGCCTACATCGCAACTGAGTTCCCTGCATTAATGAACATACATCTTTTTATTGTGAAGCTCTTGGATCTTTTGTTCACAATTTCACCAGCTCCAAACAGCTCTTCAGAGATCCAGAATTTTTATTTTTTTTTTCCAGGGGCCAGTTTGAAAACATATTCTAACAGTTCACAAGAAGTCACCACTCTGTTTTGGGAGCTTTGTGCAGCTTTAGCAAATACAGTTATTTACGATCATCAGTACCATGAAACATGCCCAGTTAAATCCCAGAATAGATTGAGCACTGTAGAGATGCCCTGTTACATCCCACTGAACTCTCAAACAGGGCACACAGTTTGACATTTATATTCCTCCAGATACCATGGACATCCTCACTTAAAACTAGCAGGCCTCAATTAGGAACTACATCTGCAGCAAATTTAGTACAGAGATATTTAAGTAACCACAGTGACCTCATGGACTGCACTGAAACTAATTACTAATGGTGAAAGTGTTTCAGATTCTCATATTCCCAAATTCCCAGATTCCCTAAACTGCCAACTAATTAGCTCAACTCTCAGCTATTATACTGCCACACAGATTAATACAAAATCCCCTTAGTAGAATTAATTTGCTTTGATCCAAGGAAATTAAGAACAAAAAACTCTGTAGGATGTAAAAAAAACCTTACTACAAGTTAGGTGAAAGTTCTCTAAGGTAAGTTACACATTACAGTCTCAAGAACTTACTGTTTCAAACCGGGGGAAAATTGTCTAGGTTGCCATGCAGATTATAGCCACCCATATCAGCTTGGTACTCAGTCAGCATACAAAAAAAAAAGGCAGTATTCAGCCAGATAAACAATCCAACTTCATGCATCAAACCATTTTGCAACTCAGAAATTAATGTAATTAAGTGCTAGGAACGTGCAGGTAAGATC